AATACAAATATGTTTTAGTGATTATTTTCACGCTCTAAATATGGACAATAGCCAATAAAAGGAAAAAAGGAATTAAATATTTTTTTCGAAAATTATATTCTCCATAAATTTTATTAAAATCGGTTATTAACACTTGGAAAATCTCCCTCGAAGTCGCATAAACTTTTTATTACGTGAATTGCATTGAATTACTTTTTTCTCCAAACCATTTAACTCTTTTTTTTTAACACCACAAATACTTTGAAAAGATCGTCTACAATGAAAAGATACGTCTTCGTTATCACTTTCATTATAGTTTCTAATTCTTTGTACATCGTACAATATCAGAAAAGACATCAAATTCTAGGAAACACATATGACTTACGTTTGCATGTGTTTTGATAATAAAAAACGTACGTAGAAAACTATACTGTTCGAATATTAGAACGTTTGAATTGAGAGTTCTATTGCAAACAGAATGATTGTTTCACTCGAATATAGTGAAATGTCTATGAAAAATAACTAAACCGTAAATTCATTCTTTAATCTTCCTTTTTTCTCTAATTTTTCAATTTGAATGAAACTATGAGTAAATATGTATATGCAGTAGCAGAAACAATCTTCGACTTAAAAAACGAAGGCCAAATGAAGGCGGTAATATGCGCAAGGAAAGGTTGCTTAGAATGATATCCTTGACGATATATTTCAAAGTCAACGAAATTGACGAGGTTGCACCTCTTCTGTAAACTATAGAATTCCGATTATCCGGCATACTCGGAACTGCGGTAATGCCAGATAGTCAAATATATCGGGTAATTGGACTATATTTACATACGAAGTAATAAAAACGAAAATATAATTTAATCCTTTGAACTGGAAGAATTTTTTAATTTAACCGATGAACGACTTCAACACGAGTTTGCAATGGAAATTTCCTCAGAGATAAAAATTTGTTTTGAAAAGAATAAAATTACAAATATCTCAAAATTTAATGAAAACAAAATAAAATAGCAAATTATGATTAATGGTCTCCCTAGTGGTGCTAATGGAATATTGAGAATTAAAATTAAAATTAAAAACCGTTGGATAACGTAATAATGCGATTTATTAATAATTAATATATAGATAAAGATAACTTTAGCTTAAAGTTATTAACATAGCTCTAGCTTAAAATGTAATCTAAACACTTTTCACATGAAACACAATTTTATTTTTCGAAAGTCCTTTATTTATGTTAACTTAATAAATTTAATTATTCGATTGATTAGTTTTGAACAACTATACTTACGATTAATGATGACGTAACAACCATTGCAAATTTTCGAAACTCAAAATCTTTTTGCATTTCAAAAAATTTTGAGATTTTAACTCAAATTCTTACCCACTTATATCTTAAATAAAAATATTGAATTAATAAAAAAAAGGACGAAAATCTTAAAAACAGAAAAGATCCACTATAAAATTATGTTCATATCTTTTACATGTCAAACTATTGTTATTTGAGATACTTTTCGACAAATAACCACCACACCCATGATTTATAATAATAGTAATAATTATTTATAAAGTATTTTCATATAGTATTTTATTGTACACATACATATGTACATATAATAAACAAGAATAGTCACTTTTTTCAATCAGCTTAATTTTGTTATATAATCTACCTCCAATTATTATCCAAATATTACTATACGATATAAAAATTTGGTTCACAGTTGCTTATATATACTTTAAACTTTATAATACCGACTGAATTGCAGGTACATCATACAAATATCGTGCCTCTCTTAGAATTTCGGAAATAAATTTTTATACATTTTCTTTGTTCCGTTATATTTTTTTGTCTAATTTAGTAATAATTACAAATTGGCATTTAACCTATTATGGCTCAAAGTCGCATAAATGCAACATTTTGTAACTTTATAATTTACAATACGACACTAACGATTTTTTTATACCATTTAAATTAAAAACATGTTATAAACAGAAATCAATTAAAATTATTATCATTATTAATAATTAGCACAATTATTGGAAGAAATAAATAATTTAATTCGTAATTTAAAAATCGTCTTATTTTTATGCTTGGCTCTTAATAGGTTAATGTCAGATTTCAATATCAATTTCAGTTATTATGAAGGTTAAAATTATTCATTATATCTAAAACAAATTCTTTTAAACAATATACAAATTATATGATTATAAGAAACTTACCTTTTTGTTACACCATACAAGAAAGATTAAAATTAATTCTTGCTACTCGCTATGTAAGCTAGAACACACTAACGTCATTACTAGTAAGTAACAAATTACGAAACTATACTAGTGAATCTGCATCAAGTATAATCATAAACTAATCACGTGTTCCGATTTGAAGATATCAGGTTTTTGAAATATTTTTTTACGTTATAATATTTTGTTATACACAAATTACATAATAAATTTGAAAAAAGTTTCGAAGTTTAGTTGCTTTCGTTTTACCTTACTAAACGTTTAGGTTATAAATTTTATTCTTAAACAGGTTTTATTGCACATTTGATGCGAATGTTGAAATACGTATTAATGTTGAACTTACTTATCAGACTTCATGAAAATGTATCAACTTCTAAAATCGAAAATCAAGTTTGTAAGTTTTTATTGTGAGAAATAATAAATATGCTCGTGTCTTAATAATTTAATTTATTATATCATTCATTATATGCAATCATAAATATAAATTACATAATATCATTAAATATCAAATAAATTAGAGGCAAAAGTAATAATTCACTAGAGTTTCCCAAATATTTGACGTTCAAACCGATATTTTTTTGAGTCGACCAAAATTCTTGATTATTCAAATAATATTATAAATAGCTTAATTATTCAAGCAAGATACCGATTATTTTAAACGTTTGAAGAGTCGTGTATGTTTAAACAATTTGTTTACATTCAAACAACAATTTATATGAATAAATTAAATCTTGTGAAATTCTATTTATTGCTCATTAAAATTTTATATATCATATAAAATTATTTTGTATTATGAAACTTTCCATATTTAAAAACAACAAATAATCGATGTTTTATTTCTTATATTTGTAATAGAATTCATTAGAATTATTGTCCCAAAATATGAGAAACAAATAATTAATACATACATATAGCTTTTTTACATATAAATTAAGTACATATAAATTGAATTTTTTTCATAAAATTAGTTACTAGAAAGGTATATAAGAGAATGCATACAATTATTTAAAAAAATAAAACAAAATGAAACTTTGAATGTAAGTATACTATTTTATATTTAATACATAATAAAAATAATCATTTACTGTAACAATTGTTACTTGACATAAAATACATATCACAAATTACCACTGATTAATACTTCAGGAAAAATATAAAAGATAAAATAATGAAAACAATTAATCAGTATATAGCAAATATTTGAAAGAATTTGATATATTTTTTAAAGTACTATAATCTATTATTATTAATGAAATCTAACTTCAAACAAGCTATTTAGTGTGCAAAAAATGAAAATTAGACATTCAAAGAGTAGAGTATAAAAGAAAAAGAATTGAATATAAAAGACATTTAGAATCAATAAAATAATTTATTAGATATTCCTCCACCACTTTGGTTCTTTTATGATTATAACTGAATCAATTTTATACATAGATTATAATACACTGTATTCCATTAAAGAGAAAAAGATAAATATTTGAAAACATGCTTAAAATAAACAGTCCTGTAACCATATTTACAATTAACACATTTATGATTGGAAAACATTTTTTTTAGAAAACACACTATAAATGATTCCTTGTATCATGACAAAGTAGTGTGTTGCACATTTCAAACATATATATCTTTCTTTATTTTTAAAATCATACAAAAAATCTTGAAGAATTTTATTTTACACATTTAAAAAACTTAATTCATCAAAAAGAAATAATTTGATTTTTGGTTTATACCAAACTAAATAATCTTAACTTATATTGAAAACTTACTCATAGGAGAAAACTAAAAAATATCTTGTGTGACTTTTGTTTTTTATGTATATTAATTTATAATACATAATTATTTATATATATATTAACATGGAATTTCTATGGAATGAGTTATATATGTATACACTAATAAAAGCTTATATCTTTAATTTATATTTTATACTTTACATCCTCACTAAAGTATTATTATTGAACTGTCAAGATATTTTATATGAAAATGAATACAAACAATTTTATATAAATCAATTCAATTACAAAATAATTCTATGAATAAAATGTGATAGGAACATAATACTTGGTAACTTTTCTTATGTAAGAAGCACGTATGATATCTCAGTATTCACTCAGATTCGACATATATTGTAAAAAAAACATTGTTTTGTTAAATGATATTTTGATTTATAAGATTCAGAACAACCAATTAATAACATGTTATCCAATTTAAATTTCATAAAATTGAGGCTTACAACTTACAAATCTTTCAATACAAATTTCTTATGTTAAAGACAATTGAAATGTCAAAATTTTTTTACTTTGTACGGTAACAAAGTATAGCATAATCTATGTTTTGTAATTGCAACTTAATTAATACCTATTTAATTAATCTAGTTAACAAAATGTTCGACTTAATTTTCGTAACTTTATTTTGTATTACTTCATATTTAAATATATGTTCTGCTATTATTTGTACTCGTTTAGGACAGATTTACTCTACATTAAACATTTTTATACATTGTTATATATGAATTGTAATTATTTACTCATTTTATACAATGCTCAACAAACATCCTAAATGATTGTTCACATTGCATTAAATGATTGATAATAAATGATTGACTGTTTACAAGTCTTTCATACATAAGCATATTATAGTAATTCATTACACATCCAGCATACAAAGAAATACCTCATCAATATGAAATGAAATTTCACATATTTATCAAACAAAGTCAATCAATTAAGTACAGATCATATGCAGAACATCTTTTTAATTTGAATATTGTTAGTTTGTATTTACATTTAATTGTCCTTTTTCATACGATTAGAAGTCATCCTGTATATTATAGAATCTCGTCCTGGATCCATTTGTGAAATTGTAACTGTTTTTGTAACAAATAAAAGTTAAAATAATACGATACATATTATTTGATAAAATAATAATAATTTTATAAAGATTACATACTGCAAATAGCAAGAAGTGAAAAGACAAAAGCAACTCCAAACCATAAGAAAATATTAAAGATGACAGGATAATTTTCTGAGTAATATTTTGAAAGGTGGAGACGTTCCTGGAACAAAAAGCTCAATGTGTAAAGTATTATATCTTATTGCAGCATTACAGCTGCAATTCTCAAATTAATACGTTTATTAAACATATTCTAAATTACGTAATATCAGTAACTAACATGAGTGTTTTACATTATTATATAAAATATAACTGATATAATGCTATGAAGTTCATAAAAGTTTTATATTTTACATTTAAATAATAAAATTAAGATAATTCTTATTATACTTCTTAAATAATATTTTTTATCTTTTTAATACATTTTATGCTATACTGACAATGGTATATAGTTAAACTATTTTGGTAAAACTTTTAATAAACAAAAAATATTTTATATTATACTGTCCAAATAGGATAAATATGGAGAAAAGAATCAAAATATTAGGAATTCAATACAAGTGCAATTTTTTCTAATTATGTATCTTAATGTCATTCTTACATTTGAATTTAAAAATACTACTTTTACTTAAATTTAAATCGCTAAAAGACTTATGCTGTTTACGACATAAAATGTATTAAAAAAATGTGTATATTATATTTTTTTACTACAGAAGTTGCCATGCACTTTATTCAATAATATGTATATAAAATTGCATTTTTCATGCATAATGAAATTTAAACGTAATCAAATAAACTTACAATCAAAAATAAAGGGCACTTAATAGTTATCTATCTGTTAATTTATATAATTCATATAACTTGATGAATATAGAGACCATTAAAAATTGTTTATATATAGAATAAAAAACATACGTATAACATTTAAACTTAATAATATAAGCTCAGAAATATAGCAAATGATACTAATATTTCTCATATTTAAAAATCAAAACTTAAATATTAAATTTTTAACATACATCATTGGTTATGAAAAGATCAGGCAATAAAACGAATAGCAACAGAAGCGTATATTAAATACAAAATATGATTAAATACTTATTCACATAAGATACACTATTAGTAACAAGTATACTAGAAAAGCAGTGCACTTTTGAAACTTTAAATCAATCTCTACAAGCGTGTTAATAATGTTTCGCAAACTTAAACCACTTACATCCTTTACTTTAATGATTAAAACTACATTCATTATGCAATAACTATATAAAATGCTTTTATTTCCATCTTAGTAATGTTGTGTCAGAAGATATGCATATAAGATGTAAGTAAGAATAAAATATTTCAATCTGTACATTAGTGATATATTTTGAAAATAATAAATATGTATAGTAGACTGTATAACAAAAAGAATAATTATAAATAATTTTGTTTCCATTTTATAATTTCAATGAAAACGTGTCTTATTTTATTAACACTAATAGCTTACTAGTAACTTACTAGTAGCTAACTTGTAGCTAACATTAGTTTTTCAGTAATAATAATATAGTAACAATATAGTAACAATAGGTATATTAAAACTATCTATTTAAATCTAATATAGTAAATTTAACAAATTGTTAATATATTTTATTACAATTATAATTTTATAAGTAAACAAATCATTTATGTGGATTATATAAAAAAGCTATCTATTAGTTGAAGTTAACCGTTGAGAACAGGCAGTAACATGTTTCCTTTAGAATAATAGGAAATGAAAATACAATAAAAGATTCTTAATAGTGAGATGTTATGTATGATTGCGTAATAAACCTTAAAATCATGAAAGTAAAAGAAGTATGTGGTGCTAATGTAACATTTTTAAAGTTAATGAAAAAATAGATTGATATATTGTTTGCAACAGTAATATATGTGAATGTTTGCTTAAGGGTGTTTCCCACAGGTGACAATGTACACTGTACTCAAACATGTACAGACTGTACATCCACACCCCTATGACTATCAAGCACCTATAATATGCCCTAAAGTTCTACTAAGATCTTTTAAGTGTTCACAATTTTTGGTTTTATTTGATATGTCATAAATTATGAAATGTTTGGGTTTATTCCATTAATATAAAATATCCTATATCAAATATTTATTAAACTCATACACAACTGAACAAAAGCATACATAAAATTCAATATATGTTTTATAATGAAATATCTATCCATAATAAAGTATGTAATTTATATGCTAATAAAATATAAAAGCTAGAAAATATTCTTTTACACTGAAATATACTGCTAAAATAAATGGGGGTATATTTAACATTCCTCCAATAAGCGTATCCCTATTTTGATTTGATAAAATGCGTATATATCTTCAAATAATATGCAAATTAAAAACTTTAGAATGCATATTAAGGGATTTGTGATACCTGTCCTATACTTTGTATGTTGGAATATATTTTATGCTCCGTATTATTCAAATCCTGATTTTCACTGATTCCACTATCACCATGAATATCACTACTTGCAGTAGAACTGTTCATGTCACTGTGATATATACTAGTGTCATTTCTACTTGTATTTGAATCCTCTTCATCTTCTATCTTTTTGTTTTCACCGTGTTGATCATCTTGCTATAAGTACATGTGTTTATGTAAGCAACATATGTTGCATAACACGAATTAATTCAAGCCTAACTTAATCACAGTACTTGTTGGACTTGTACTGTGTATGAAATATATATATATATGTTTACTAATATTGTAAACATGTAAAATGAAAATAAAGATATAATCAAATTTTATTGATCTCATTATATTGTGCTTGAATATGTGTTGCCATCATATGTAACTTTGTTAAAATAAATTAAAATGTTCTGAATAAACAAATTAAATGAAAAATGTAAGTTCCTATATATATATATATCCTTCAATATATGTGTTCTATATTATTCTTAAATCATTTTATTAATTAGAAACTGTTAAATCATATAAATATCATATATATTATGCTCATAAAGGAGTCTTTCTGTATTTATTTTCCCAAAAATTGTCACATTCTATATAAATATACACTTAGTTTTATATGTACTGTAGCTATAATATTTTTTATTTTTTACATGTGTTTTAGTTTAATGCATAAAATAAGTCAAAAAAAGAAAAAGAAAGTAGCAAGAACAATTCTTTTAATATTTGAAATAGAGCCAAATTCTTAACTGTATTTTTTTCTACTATCATGGTTGATTTCAAATGAATCATGATTTCACACTATTTTCTTTTTATATACATAAATAAATCACTGTTGCTTTCTGGATCTATCGTTACACATAATAGTCATCACTATCTATAATATCATTATTATATTCAGAATTTTTAGTCTATTATTTGGTTTCTCCTTTAGACTTTATTTCTTTTTTTCCAGAATTTTTATTCACTGCAATATTTAATACATTCATATTTTCTTTTTGCCTTTTTTCTTTATTGTGTTTTTTCTATTTTATTGAGATTTTGTATGCATTATTGACAAAATGAATAACAAAATTTTTTAAATGAAATAACTTCTAAAAATCATGATATAATTAATTATGACACAGGTTGAAATGGAAATGAATTATACTTTTTGTTATATTGACTCTACTTGTATAATAGTCTACATAATTTACAAAATTTTTATGGTTTCTGAGATTAAAAGATTCATAAATATTTTGATAGCATAAAATAAAAAAAAAAAAAAAAAAAAAAAAAAAAAAAAAAAAAAAAAAAACAGGAGATTGACTCTAAGATACACAAGAATAAATAATAAACCTTATAAAGTTTTTATCTTTTAAGTTTTTTTTAAGTTTCTTGATAACTTTCATCTTTGTTTCTTACACTTTTAGTTCAAATGTAGAGATTTTTTAATATACTAATATTACTAGATACTAAATAGTAATAATATAATATGCATACAAACTATTGTACTGAAGAAGTAATTAAAAATAATATATATAATTATACCTCATATAAATCAAAATGATGTAGTTGGTCTATCAAGTATATTTTTATGTAAAAAATGTAATCAAAAAATAATAATTAAACAATTATATATATTAGAAGTTCACTTTTACAAAATGCTAATGAGTTATTTTGACCTATCCAGTCATTCTAGTGTTAAACAAAACTCCAGTAATAAGTAACAAAATCTTACTGAATGAAATTCATGTTTCAAATTAAAATTTAACTAAAGTAATTGTTATTTTTTTATTTCTTCTATTTTAAAGGGTACTTTTTCTTTACAAATACCATTAGTTATTATTTTTATATAAATTATTTTGTTTTAATAAATATAATTGACTTTAAGTTTATAAGTTTGAAAAAAAATTAAACATTCAAATATACTTTTATGAAATATATTAAGTTAAGCCTGCTGTTTATTAAAAATGATGTATTTTTGTAATGTAATATATATAGTGAACAAGCTGCCAGAGTCCTCAGAAACTCAATAGTATTAGTATTAATTTAAACACATGCAGAGACATCTGCTTCATCAAATATAAGTAACTTCATTTGTTTTCCATTAAAATTTCATGGAACCAATGATAGCATTTTTCTTGTTTGCTTTTTTACTTTATTTTTTTTATAACATAATACAAGCAATACTATCAATTAAGAACACGACCAATTAAGAATAGGCAAACATATCAAATTTGGGATATTTATTTAGTTACTCACTAATAAAAATTTGTGATAATTAAGGATTTTTGTATGAAATTTTTCTAAATGAAATTTTATTAAAAGATTACCACCACCCTAATGTATATAAAATAATACAAATAGATATAATTATTTTATAAAACTGTTTTAGTATATTCCGTGATAAAATTGAATGTTGTATATTTCTTGGTAATTTAACATATCAAAAAAAAAAAGAAATGTTTTGAATTATGGAATTATAAATATTTTCTGCATAATTCATTAACATGTTTGGAAATCATGCAAAAAGCTATCTCTACTTTTATACACTTGTTCAATTTCAACAAAATATTTGTTCATGCAACAATATGAACATACCTTTATTGCATTATTATTATTATTATAGTCATTATTATTGTTGTTACCATTATTAAATTTTGTATTATTGTACACCCGTTTAGTTTCCAAAGTGGATTCTATATTATTAGTTTTATTAGCCTATAAAATATATAGGTGTTAGACACAATCATTGAATATTATCGTACAACTTTCATTGTACTTGCAATACGAATATATTCATTATTCATATATATTAAAGACATTTATCATTGATATTTAAAAAATTTTGTATCATTAAATTTAGTTTCTACATGGAGTACAACTTGTTTTGAATGCATATATTATAGATATATTTTAGCATATAATTTATCTTGTTATAAATTCACATTATTATGATACAAAATGATATAAAATATCTGAATACTGTAAACCTAATATACTTTTTTAATTTTACCAATAAATATTTAGTATATCCAACCCAACAAATAAGTTGGATAAACACAATATTTAAGAGAAATGTAGATCCAATCTGCCACCTTTAACAGCAATTTCTTCAAAAGCTAAAATGTGATATATTAAATATATTATAAGAACTAACATGTTATTCAAATCCCTTCATTAAATTGCTGTTTAGTTTATATTAGACAATGTTAACATACATTGATAAATGCAAAAAGATTCTTTCATTAAATAGATAATTATGAAATATGGCAATATTGATAATAGAAATGTATGTGAATTAATTTCTTATACTAATTTTACTCTAATACTAATTTTGTAAATTCATCCATGTGACTAATAAGAAAAGTACTCACTTTAACAATTTTACTTCATATTTCGTATAAATATTACTTCTACTTAAATTAAAATTAATCAACAATAACTTATCACTTCTCAGATTATCAAAAATGTTAATTAAATATGATAATTTATCATTTATTCTTTTTAATTACTTACAAACTTTAAATTTAATAAAAGTAATATTTGTATAAAACCAATTTATTTTATAAGTTTTATTAATTTACATAATATACATTTGTAGTATCAATACTGCTAAGCCTTATATAACTATGCACTACCTATTAACTGTAACATTTTATAAAATGTATATTTAAAGAAATGTACACTTACTGAAATAAATAATTTCTTTCAATTTTTCTTTGAAATACTGTTTTACGATCATGTTTCAAAATTTTAATTTTATATTTATGATGAGTATACAAATAAGTTAATTTAACAATCATTTGAAATTATTTTCAATTGATTTTTTTCCAAATTCTGCAATTTGAAAAATTTGTATTAACTTCCTTCGTTAAACTTGAAAAGAAAAAGAAAGAATATGTTTTATGGTATAATATTGTAATTGGAATTTTTTATCAAACTATTTTGTCGAAATGCAACATATGCAAAAAAAAAAACCAAAAAATCTAGTAATATATATTTTTACATTTCATATAAAAAATGAAGTATATTTTTTCATTAAATATATTTATTTCAATTGGTATTATATAATCTAATTTAAAATCTGTAGAATATCATTGCTGCTGTCTTTAATAACATTGCTAAATAAAGTAGAAAAGGAATGAATTAATTTAGATTAAGGAATTCAATAATATAGAATCAATTTCTAATGAAGCTGAAGTACTATTTTGTTAATTAAAGAAAAAAAAGTATAACATAACCTGTTTATAAAGTATCTTTTTTTTTTCAAAATATAATATTTTTTAACATTATGTGTGTGTTTATATATATATATATA